ATGGAGGACCAGGTACTTGACACCACTTGTCACGTCGGGCAGGGATCATCCAGTATGCAGTGCCTGAGGGTAAGTGCTGCCCCAGGGCCTCGCCTGGCCAAGCTTTGCTGCAAAATGGGTCAGTCCAAATGCAGTTTTATTGCAGCCACTGAGGGCAGCAAGCACCAGTTGGGTAATCCCACAGTTATCCACGCTGTTCCCTAACACAAAACTGTAGGCAGGTTGTCTCACCTGAAGAAGGCACAGCAACAGATAAAGCCTCTGTGGGTCACAGCCCTAGTGCAATGGTAGAAAAAGGTCCAGAGATGCCCCAAGGTCATTGCCTGAGCCAGGCAGCCCCTCCTGGAGCTACTCCTCAGTCACGTACATCAGCCCATTCCCGAGACAGCCAAATTCCCTGGTGCTCCTCACCCTGCAGCTCTGCCAGGCTCATACTATCTCCATCTGCCCTCAGGAGAAGCCCCCTGGCTGGCTCCTCTTCCTGCAGTACGTGGTACAGACTCTGGAGGACGACTTCCAGCAGAACGTGAGGTTGCGCCTCCTCCAGAAGTCAATTGCCAAGAAAGTGCTTTCGTGTGACCTGTGCTTCAACAATGTCAAGTAAGAGATGACGCCTCCTCTCCTGTTCTCTAATCAGATGCTGACAGGCAGGGACTCGGGGGACACTTGTGTTGAGACTCTGGGTTAGACTTTCAGACTTTCCAGGAAACAAGCTTGTGAGACAGAGGGAACTGTAGGGCCCAAGTATAAAGAACAGAAGCCGATTTATGAAAGCAAACTACCTGAGATTGTGCAAGACATTTTCAGCTGCAACCTAGCAGACTTTTCACAGGAATGAGGTCAGATTTGCAGTGTTCAGTACAGGACTGAGGAGGAGGCAGTCCCGCTGACAAATGTGTAAATCTGCTGCTCAGAGCTACTCCCTAACCTGTCCAAGCAAGTGAGACATATTCCTTGTCCTTGGGGTGGGGGGTTATTCCTAAACCTTTAAGTGGATCTAGAGGTCAGAACAAATGGGCATGTCTCCTTTAAAGTTCATTTTTGTCCCAGGGAGGTGGTTGAATGGTTGGTCGCAGCAGTTACAGGAGTCGGGTTCTCCCAGCCCCAGGAGCAGCTGCAAAAAACTACTTCAGCAGAAGCAAGGTCCGAACACAGCTCATCTGCACCACTGATGGCCAGCACTGACCAGGCAGAGGCAGCTCCACCAGCTTTCTTTGCTCAGAAGTAAGCCCCAGAAGTCCTGACTCCCTGCTGGTATTATCATGGGGTCCAAGTCAAGGAGAAGCCAGTCTTGCCTTGTCAGGTCAGGGAAGCCAGGCTGTATATGTGACCAATTTTGCTGGCTCTCCTTTGGAGTAGATATGGACTTGGTGAGCAAGAGAATTCCTCACCCGATAGGAAACTGTCTCAATAGGCATCCTCCTCCTGCACGTAGCATAAGGCCACAGCTCGGGCTGCTCCATTCTGCTCCACCGACACTCAGCACAGCTGCTGAGTCCTCCCAAGGGCCCATCTAGGGATTAGTTCTGTTTCCAAGAGCGTTAGATCCAAAAGCCACCATGAGACACCAAATCTAGCCTGCTACATTCCCTTTTCTCCCTCACAGCAGGGCACAAGGCTGAACTAGGTGCCATCCCCACTGCTTTACTCTGCAAGCCACGGGGTAGCATGTCCTGGTGTTGACTCTCTCTCTAACCTAGGGTGATGTTCCTGCTCCAGCGGATGTTGTCCATCGCAGTTGAAGTGGACAAATCTCCCAACTGCAGCTCCTGTAAGATCGCAGATGTGATGTTCCCATTTATACTGAATATTCCCCTGAGGAGCCAAAGGTGAGACAAACATGTGCAAGGCAGCATCTGCCCATGTGAGCAACAGTCCTATTCCCAATTCACATCCAAGTCTGAATGCATAAAGTACAACAAGATATAGAAAAGACAGGCTCATTTATGACCCAGTCAGCAAGAGCATGGCTGCATCTCCCATGGAGATAGAACATCACCAGCTGAACACATTTACCCAGCTGGGGTGTTGCTGGGACAGCTGATTCTCTCACTTGTTAAAGTTGCAGGACCTTAAAACTGTAAAGAGGGTCTGAATAGCAGCACTCCACATCAGCACAGTCAGGTACTGGCAAACGCATCACTAATTACCAGGGGCAACTGGGTAGCTCATCAGCAGTATGATGCAGTTTCTACAGCTTTGCCTTAACATTCTTTTTGCTTCTCTAAGAAATGCGTTATCTGAAGCCAAAGCACAAGGGCCTGGCTGGCTCTACTGCAGACACAAGACCACTAAACTCACGGACACTTCAAACTCACATTTACCAGCCCGCACAGGCAGCCCTTTCAGGCCCTTTCAGCAGAACTCTCCCTGACCACACACCAGGTCTGATCAAGCCAAACTGCCTCTAGCCAAGCTATTGCTCCTCCCAGGACAGATATCCCAGATCCAGCTGGCCGCTAACCCCATTTCACAGTTGCTTGGCTGCAC